TCCTAGTCCAAGTCCTAGTCCTAGTCCTAGTCCTAGTCCTCTTAGTCCAAGTCCTAGTCAATCGCTGATAATTCCCCTTCCCTTTCCTCCCCCCACCCCTCCCCTCCCCCGCTCTCCCAGAGACTTCCCGGATCTCGGAGACGGCTTAAATTAAATACATTAAAGATTATCTTCACTGGTTTATTCTTCAGACCATGAGACCGCCATCATGCATCGCTTACAGACTGTTATCTTGGAACACACCAAAGTGCTTATGGATGTCATGGAATGCTGTGCAGAGCTGGACTGGTATGGTGCTAATCTGTTTGAAAATTTCAACCCTATTGCTTTCAAGTTCGTTATTTTGAATTCTTTTTGCTAGGTGCTCATGTACAAGGAGTTGTTTTTGTCTAATTTTGTTTTCAGTTTAATTTCTTTGGCTGTATGTGCCAGGGAGAACAACTATGTCTGTCCCAAGTTGACAATGGATTCAGTGTTGAACATAGAACAGGGCAGGTGGGTCTTGTCAACTCTTGGTTAAGGTAGGCTCGATTACTTGCCCATGATCGCAAAATGAGCCCGCGCTCATCCCCTTCCCCCTCCTCCTTCCCCCTTCTCCCCTTGCCCCCGTCCCCCTTCATTGCTGTAAATTCCGCCTTGACTCTAGGTCTTTGGTATGACAGTGGAGGTCGACTCAAAGGAAAAGATAGATCCAAAAAGTCAAATATAACACAATGATATAAATCAAAAGAAAACTGTCGATACCATAACACAAATAGCTTGATCGATTATTGCGGTACTAACAGTTGTGGTATATTTTTAAGTAACACGAAACATCGCTTAGAATACTTACCCATCACGAAGGACTCCGCGCAATTTTATTACTCCAGTTAAGCACAAAATGGTTTTTACTGCATTTTCGAACAAGCTCTATCTTTTTATTTCAAAGCTTCCCTCGTTGGAATCTTACGTGAAGTTTTGAAAAGTGTTTGTCTCATTACCTTAGGCATCCCTTACAGGAACTTTGTGTCAATCTGTTCGTTCCAAATGACACTGTGTTTGAAAAAGATAAAGGACGGATGAAGGTGTTAACGGGACCGAATGCCAGTGGTAAAAGTGTCTACCTTAAGCAGGTGAACATTGTGAAAAGTTTAATCCTTACATTCGACATTATGGCGGACTGATGGTTTGTGTGCTGGATTATAATAGAAATGGATTGTAAACAAAGCCAAATGAAAACAACTGTTTCTTTGAAAGGTTTTCAGACGTAAAGGAGATCTTCTGTTGGATGTCATGCGCCATTCAACTTCTTTCCCTTAACTTTTGCTCAAATTTTCGTCTAATGTTTGGGGCCCTTCTTTTGTCAAGAGAGAACGTCAACTTCGTAAATTTCCCCCTCCTCACCCTTTACAATGTTTTTTTTTTTTGTTATAGGAGAATAAGGCATTTTTTACGTGAACCAGGGCGCACTGTAAAGAGGGAGTTAGTTGCAGGTAGTGTTTTTTTTTTGGTTTTGTTTTTTTTTGGCCTAAATATGCGAATTTAAGATTTACATTCCTTAACTCCTCAGAACCCTTGAACCACTGCGAGTGACTAGCATCTAATTTCTCATTTCGATATTACCCCTGATTTCCACATCAAGGTCACAAGAATAAAGGAAATGATCACCAATTAAAGAAGCTCTTGATTATTGAACAAATTCTCATTGTCAGCGACTTAGGAAATGTATGGAGAACAGAAAGGAGAATATGCATATATAATTTAGGCGGACATTCTCCTCTTTGAATTTCAGGTCGGTTTAATCGTATTCCTTACGCATATTGGAAGTTTTGTTCCGGCTGAGTCAGCCACTGTAGGTATCACTGACAGAATTTTTACACGAATACACACAAGAGAAACCGTGTCAGTTGGCTTATCTACTTTTATGATCGATTTAAATCAGGTTAGTACTTGTAGAGAATTTTGTTGTTCGGAACAAAACAATTTGGAATAAAAAGAGTATAAAAACGTAAAAAAGATAAACTGATTTCTTTATGGTTGTGATATTTTAGTAATGTCTTTCTTCCTTTTGTGGGCTATTGTGGGTTTTAATTCAGCTAGGTCCATCCCCACTGCGTTTGTCAATGAATTAAAAAGCTCCCGCTGCCGTCCTTAACCATGAGAAGCAAATCAGATCCAAAAGCGGTCGCGTCTTTATGCCACGTGTTTATTTTACGCATAGCGCCAATGACGTGGTTGACCCTGGAGTGTTGCTTCATAGTATTACTTCCCTGTTCTTTGTATAGCCACCTTGTTTTGCTTTTCACACTATAGTAGACAATTGAAATGGAATTGTGGTAAACACCTGCTTGACCTTGAAATGGAATCGTGGTAAACACCTGCTTGACTTTGCTTCTATTTCAAGTTTGATTGATACATTGTTCATCAATTGTTAGGTGGCGACTGCAGTAAATGCGGCCACGGATAATTCGTTGGTCATCGTTGATGAATTTGGAAAAGGAACTGCTACGGTACCATGACTACAGTTTTGTCTACATGATAAGATGAATGTTACACGCATTTTGATTGGTTCTTACTTACGATCGGGTGTCGTCACCATTAACCACCATTTTCCTTTTTATTAAATAAAACAAAAAGATTCCATGTTCCTGTGGGTCTGTACATCTATTTGTTAAATATTTACCATAACAACCATTATTTTCCATGTAAATCAACTCATATTTGGACTATACTGTGTACTTCAAAGCTAAATTGCTGCTGAGATGCTGGAATTCAAGCTATCTCAATCGCCTGTGTCTAGTTTTATTTTCTTTCCTTTTGGTGCATCATTCTGGTTTACTATGGATTGCCTTGCGGAATTTTTTCTCAGTGACGTCTGTGCTATGTATAGATATACAGTAGGGTCCCTTCACCCACGACAAATGAAACCAGGAAGTTAAAAATATTGAAATTTTAGTCGTGCTGACCGTGAACGTTAATTGGAAAACAAGGAAGTGATAATATGTTAAAGAAGCGTCCGATATAACAATGGAGAATTTAATTAGTTTTGAGATACAATGAATATATGAAGTTGATATATTTTTAACTGCGGTATTAGATACGTATGATGCACGATCCTCGCAGTAGATAGCGCTATTTATGCAATAGCGAAAATTTTTTCAGGTCTGATTTTCGCTATTGCATAAATAGCGCTATCTACTGCGAGGATCGTGCATCATACTTAATTAGTTTTGGAAGGAAGAATGAAAAAGCCATAAATTGTCGTTACGATTGCCCTAAGGTATGCGTCTCATTTCCATTTGCTATAATATGTACGGTTTTACAGCTGCAAGAACGGGTAGAAGGGAAGTTCAGATCGAATTTTCTCATAATAATAAGTGAACGAAAATAATTACCACGTACTTTATCTCATTCCTCTAATGCTAACTAGAAACGAATGGGAAAATAATACAATGTTGGGCCTCAGTTTCCCTTTAATCCAAAGTTTATACTCGATTGTTAACGGAAGGGAAAAGCTATGGTCATATTGCTTCAATTAGACTTCCATTTTACATTTCTTTGATTTGCCCTTATCTCTTCTCTTTTCGTTTACTTTTTCTCACCAACAGCCAGAATCGATTTACGTCGCTCTGTCGAGTATATCTGTCATTATCCTTCGAGGTAGTATGCGTGCTCGTTAGCCGAATATCGAAATCTACTCGAAGACAATTGGTTCATAGTTTCCCTTAAAGACTTGACACATTTCGAATTAAGCAAATTTGACAAGGATCTTGATTCTAATGGTTATAATTCACTATCTTTAGAGCGTTCAGGAAGTGTTTATTCTTAGGTCGTTTTTAGCTCATGGTTGACGACGCAACTTCCTATCTTCTAACTGTAGATCGACGGTTTGTCTCTACTGACTGCCACCCTTCGACACTGGCTGAGACAGGGGTCCAGTTGCCCAAAACTGCTTGTCTCGACGCACTTTCACAGCCTTGTGAAACAAAAGCTCCTGCCACAGACACCTCTGGTCACTTATCAGGTACATTTCTATTATTCATCGCAAACTTCCGGCAGCTGGATCGCATTTCACTGACATCTCGAAAGGTCATGAATGCAAAATTATACTCTTGGCGAGCGTTGTATCATCCCTCTAAACTTATGGCAACTTGTTGCCTTACAGCTATTTTTGTTGGTACGCTCAGAAAATAAGACTGTCGTCCATATACTGCCTTAATAGCTAGATAGATAGATACAAATAGATAGATATGTTTCTTAAAATAACACTTTGCAGCTGAAAAGCTGAGTTGCGTTTATGGAAAAAGGTATGAAGAACGTTAAAAGCGTGACTTACATTATATTATATTATATATATATATATATATATATTTAGTATGATTTCAGAGCTGAGCAAAGAGTTTCCAGCAATCTGATTTGTCGAGCGGTTCCTTATATGACGCTATATAAACCGCTCCACGCGGTTTATATAAAATGTTAAAGTGCACCTAAACCCAAAAAATTGTTATCGCTTAACGAAATAAGCGTATTTTTTGGAGTATTTCTGTGCAAATTTTTTTTATTTGCTCAAATCTTTAACTTTCTGTGCCCAGTCAAAATACGGAAAATCGGCCGCCATCTTGCCCCACGACCGAGTTTAAAGAGGAATGGCTCTAGCGGGTAATGTGACGTCAAATCGAGAACACGAAAGTCTGCATTTCACACATTTTCACTTGTTTGGGAAGGTTGT